TTTAAGATAATATAGTTTAATTATTTAATAATAATAAGTTACGATGTTATTTATTATATTTTTACATGAATATTATTGTTAGTAATTTTAAAATACGAATTAATATATAATTAGAATAAATTTGAAATATTTTTTAAAGTATTTTAAATATTACTCTCTTCATCCAAGCTAATTTGTCTGCGCACAGAATTTTAGATATTATGCAGGTAATAAGTAATTAAGAAGTGTATTAGTAAAAATAATTATAATATAATAAAATTAATTATAAAATAAGATTAAAATGATTAAATAATTTAAGTAAAATATAAAAAAATTACAATTTTTAAATTATAAAATGTGATTAAAGTGTATAATTATATTTTTAAAAAATTATAAATTATATGAAACGAACCAAAATACAAATAATGGATAAATTATGTGGGACGGAGAGAGTATATGTAAATAAAATATATGCAATATAGATATCATTTTGTAGAGAATAGAATTTTAAATGATATAAAAAACAAAAATATATTTATATATAATTATAATAAATTAGTTAAAACGATGGAGTTTTAAATATTGATAAAATTATCTATTTATTGAAAAAATATAAAAATAAATTTTTTTTGAGTGACTCCAACGTATGTTGGGATATGAAGTTGATTATGAAAATAGTCATGTATTCTAAATTTAACATGTTCTATGCGTATTCTAATTTAAAATTTTTGGCTTGGCAGTGCTTCAGACATAGATCATCCTGATCAAAATAAGTAACCAAAATTTTGTGTTCATGTTTGCCCCTGCTTGATTTTATTTTTTATTTTCAATTTTTCGCAACAATTGGTATTAGATCCATAAGTTTTTTTTAGTGAGAGTCAAGATGAGTAATCATTCCGCTATTAAGGTATTCGATGGAATAAATTGAAATTTCTGAAAAATGCTGATAGAAATTATCTGCATAATAAAGATTTTAGAGATAATGTAGAAGAAGAAACTCGAAGACATGGATGAAGCCAAACACATAAAGATCGACAGGAAGGCGATGAGTGCGGTTCGACTAACCCTTTTTTATAATGTCTCATTTAACACAGTTCAAGCATAATCTACACTGGAGATTTTAAGAATCATCGGACATATACGAATAATTGTGTGCTGCAAATAAGGTTTACCTGATGCAAAAACTATTCAAGCTGAGGATAGTTGAAGGATCTTATGTTGTTGTGTATCTGAACTAATTCAACCTGATCACTGCGCAGTTGCAGTCGGTGAATTTTGAATTTGATTCAGAGATTAAAGCCGTAATCCTATTATCGTCTTTGACGGATAGTTGGGATTTGGTAGTAATAACCGTAAGTGCGGCTTCTTTAAGGAAAAATAAAATGAAGTTTGATGCAGTCAGAGATCTAATCTTGAGTAAGGAGATACAGAGAAATTCAGGTAAGAATATTAAATTTGGATATGGATTTGCCCTTAGTGTTGAAGATAAAGGTAGACCTGAGGCGAAAAAGGAAATAGTCAAGATCAAGAATGGTTAAAGTCGAAACTGAAAAATGAGGAGAAAAAGATGCAAGTAAGGTGGTATGCTGAAGTTGCAACCAAAATGGACACTTAAAACAATAGTGTAGGGCGCCGAAGAAGGATTATGGTTCCGTGAACGCAACAGACAAGATATCTAATGTGCTGATTTTGAGCGTCAGCAGTCCAACAGAGTTATGGATTTTGCACTAAAGAGCATCATTCCACAATGCAGTGATTCGGAAATCATGGAATTCTATATCACATTGATGAACTTATTGTTCATCTAACTTTTTGTACGTTAATTGCGTATATTGACTATAATTTTGCATAGTTCCTATTGATTTTGGGTCGAATTTGATTTTGTGTTAAAAATAGAAGAAATTGAAGATATTTGCAAAAGATTCAGATTTTCGTTTTTGATTTAAGCATGACCATGCCTAGAGATAGTTTGGATAAATCAAGGCTTGAAAGATAAATAAAAAATATATATATTCAAGCCATCCTAGGGGCTGTACACATTTTTTACATTAAGGAAAAAAAAAAAAAAACAGAAAATCATCTTGGCAAGAAAGCAAAAACGCGCATGACGGCTGGAGCGATCAAGATGCACAACTCTTCTTCGTCTTCTTTCAAGTAGAATTTATTTGTTTTCGATTTCTGGTCATGTTTAACAGCTAATCTCTTATTCTAGTATGAGGGTGGATTGAATTCTTGAATTTGAATTTGTGAGATAGTTTTTATTTTTATTGAAACTTTCAATTGATTGGTATTTGTGCAATTTTTGTGTACCGTGTTTACAATCATTAAATGCGATTTATTATTGTGGCCAAATTTTAAGTATGTCTATTGATTGTTTGCTAATTGAATAACTGCATCCATAATTGTGTATTTATTCGACAAGTAGTAATTAGGTTAATGCGCTTAGCCTAAGAATTGCATGATCAAATAAGAAATCTTTCGTAATTGATTAGTTATTTGAATTGGGTTTTTCTTGAGTTAAAGAATTTTTACTAAGGTCGTACATAATTTAATTCTTTTGATTAGAGAGTGGTCAATTGGTTGTACCGTTGCCACCGACAAAGTTAGGAAAAATTGGGTGTTCGATTGTATCAAACACTTATAACAAATTTATCAATTGTTTGATTAGATTATTTAATTCGATGATCAGATCCATTATTTTCATCCAACCCTAGGACTAGAGCGCTCTACTTCTTGATAAATTCGTGTTTATTTCCTTCTTTAATTGGTTTAGTTTAATTTTATTAGGATAACTATTTTAATTCTAGATTGAAATCTTCCCCCATTTTAAATAAATAATCAACTAAAGAACACAATCACAGTTTCTATGGATTGACCCTATTATCATTATTCTATAATTGATTAAGAAATATGTAATTATTTGACTGACAGTCTACGCCTGTCACATATAAATTTGGTGTTGTCTATCTTGCACATGATAAGCCACTAAAAATTGTAGAAAATGAGATGGTCTAAATCCGAACACCGAATGGAGGCGCATGGAGATTGAATGACGTAAAAGGTATGTCTGGAGTCTGAAACGAAATATGATTACGTGGACAATTGGATGAGGCAGATTACTCGACAATTTTTTAAATTAAGTCGTGAAAGGTAACCAAGAAATCCATTGTAGTGGCTCAAGGAAAAAAATGTCACTCTTTACATGATGAACATAATGAAAGACAGAATCAGTTCCGTAGTCATAAATAATGACACAAATTTATGATATTCTCGTCTCGGACATATAAGCGATAAGGGGATAAAGAACTTGTTTCAAATGAAAAATTGTCAGGTCTCAAGTTCGTCAATATCGGAGTATGCGAGGACTGATTCTTTGGGAAGTTGAAAAAAGTTTCATTTTCAAAGGGTGTGAGAGATTGAAAAACAAGTTGGAGTTTGTCCATACGAATTTGAGGAGCCAGCTCAAGTATCGTCGCCTGCAGGTTCACAATACTACATCATGTTCATTGACGACGCTGCAAGGAAAATATAGGTATATTTCTTTCAACATAAATATTATGCTTTTGATACTTTTAGGAAGTGGAAAGCGCATGCTGTGGGAGTAGTTAACTTATTTATGAACAATCCTAAAAAAGCAATCTAAGGTGGTGACCTTAGATGAATTAAGATTGTGTTCGGCTTCAATTAGCCTCGATGAGTGAAGAAGTATATTTGACGTTGTCATTGCTGATGAAATGAATTGTTGAAGTGGAAGATGCAATTAGTCTTAAAGTGGAAAATTATTGGATATAAAGTCTGATTATATCCTAAAACCTAGGGATATAATTTAAATATTATTATATTATAAATTTAAATATATGATTTGAATATTATTGACATAAACTTAAACTATAAATAACTATATATTATCACTTTACCATGTATTATCGAACTAGATAACTAAATTATTGTGTTCTTGTTTTTTTCTTTTCAATTTCTTGAATTTTGCGCATCTGAGATGTTATATATTATAAAATTAATTTATATTTGTTAAATATATTTAAATTTAATAAATTTTACCAAAAATAAAAAATACCAATCGAAGTGAAACAGATAAATAAATAACTGAAATACCGACTTATCGTGTCGAAAAACCCAAAAATTTCGGTATACCGAAAGTTTCGGTACAGGTAAGATATCGTACCGAAATTTTCAGTACGGTATCGGTATGAATTTTTAGAAAGTTCGATATTTCGGTATCATACCATACTAATATTATTTTTATTAAATAATTTAATTATTAATATAAATAATCATTATTAATTTTTTTTTTAAATCATAACAAAAAAATTATGTAAACTATTGAAAATTTATTAATTTTTTCATATTATTTTTATGGTGAAAAATGGTGATATTTATTAATTTTTTTAATTATTTTAAAATTAAAAATTATATTTTCGGTATAATCTGTATATACCGATATCGTACCAAAATTAAAATTTTCGGTATAAACAATATATATCAATACTGTACCGAAGGTTTCTATATACCAAAATTTTTGATACAGTACCCGTATATATTTTCAATGGTACCGAAAAGTTCGGTCATCCGGAGGAGGGAGTAGTGTTTTATAAACATTACTAGAGTTGATAAGCCTATTTTGCCCTCGTAATCATGTTTTTGTTACTTCTTGGAAATAAATAAAACACATAGACCCCACACCACTGAATGCAACCACAGACATAAATCTCAGAAAGTAACGTGCGGGTGAGAGAAAGAAACCAAGACATGACATGGTGATGTAAGATTGTCAATAACATCATAAAAAAAAAAAAAAAGAAAAAGTACTTGTATGAAATGAAATATCCAATGGATATATCTCACATATATATATATATATGTGCCCACATAAATGTTAGTAGTATTTGCAGTGTGATGAGATAGATAGATATTTTTATTATTGTGTAGAAAGCGAGGAATGATAAGGCTAAAAGAGAGACGATCCAAAAAGTACATAAATAGCTTCTCCCCAGGTTCAGACATGGTCCCACTCTCATGTAAGATTCCCCCATCATAAACCCATCCCCAATATCATATACTTATTGAAAAATAATAAAAACAAACAGAAACCCATTTCGAGATTTGTAATACAGTTCACATGTGACTGACTGCTTGTGTCTAAAAGCACGATGCAGTTAGTCATCCCTCCAGAGAGATTGAATTAGAGCTTGAATTTAAGTTGAGATGGATATTAATGAACTCAGGTACTGGTTCAGCTCCATAAGATCTTACAACAAAGGCATACAATAAATAGACAACATTCATACTACTCATGCTCGCAAGAAATTAATCGAAACTGACAAACTGCAAATCAAACATCTCAAGAACAGTGACCCAAATGGACAGAAGATTCTACCGAAGAAGAAGAAGAAGATGGGATGGGAAAAGGGGAGGAAAGGCAGCCAGGCATAGCAATCTATTCACATGCAGAAACAACAAATTACTGAAATGTAGCAGCAATTATTAGTAAAATCTTAAATTCACCTGGACGATATTGGGTTCAGATTTCTGGTAAATCCACTGAATGCGCCATAGCTCTTTGAACTGAAGCCCAGGCATCCGAGTAGTCCCTGCCTGTATGGCAGAAAGGTCTTCTTCTTCATCTCCTCTGCTTGTGCTCTGTTCGTCGTGTAGTGCAGCTCGTGAGCCGACCGCGGGACGCGCCGTTTCCATACTCCGTTTGCAGGTTTTCCGGTAGCGGGAGGAGTTTTTGCTTTCTTAGATTCGTTTTTGCCTTTCTTCTCGTCGCGCGAGGACGACGGAGATAAAGCAGGGGATGATAACGACGGCGATTTCTTCTCCTTCGACGGCGAGAAGGAAATCGCCGACCAGAATCTCTCCTTGCTGGTTGCTCTTCCCTCGCTTTTGCTGCGGTTGAGAAGATCCTTGAGGAATATCCATTTCTTCGAGTTCCTTCCGGAAGACGACGACCGCGACGACGATGCGGAGCAGGACGGCGTCGTTTCACTCGACTCGTTCTCCTTCGTTTCGGCGTCGTCCTCCGCAGCTATGGCTTCTAATCCTCGCAATTCGCACTGCGCATTGCTGCGCAGCGGCGACATGGATCTCGCCTTCCGGTGCGAGTACTTAACGCACACGCTCGGATCTCTTCCCCTCGCCTTCTCGGCGTATTCGCCGCACGGATCTACGAACGGAGCTTCCTGCGGCCTCTGCAAGTGAGACGACAGCTTCATCGGCCGGATCTGGCCGTTGAAGAACAGCTCATCCGCAGACGTAAACGACGCGTTTCCGCCCAATCCATCCGACGAAAACCGCGAAGAGAACTCAAACTCGAAGGAACCAGAATCGGACGACAAAAACACCGGCTCGTGATCGTACGCCGCCTTCTCACTGGACAGAAGATAATGCATCGGACTCGCCGGAGCACTGAAGAAATATCCAGACGGCGCGTGGCCTGGACTCGACGGAGCACTGACAAACGGAGTGGAGCAGGTACTATCAATGTCCTCGCTGAACCGCGGAGGATCAGCGGCGGCGGCGATTAATCCGGCGGTTTTAGCGGCGAAGGCAGGCATTATTGGAGAGAGAATTAGCGGAGCGAGAGCATAGGGAAATGGGGGTTTCTGAGGAAAGGCTGAGGACTGACTAATCTTGTTGGACACGCAATTATTGCATGCAGCTGCTGCAGACTGCAGAGAGAGAAGGAAAGAGGGCCTCCACCTTCCTTCGTCTCTGCCATTCCCATTCCTAACCATTTTCTTTTCACCTTTTTTATTTTTTATTTTCAGGAATCAACTAGTTTTTACTTTTTACATTCTACACTCCGTCACGTGCGTATGAAATGACGTGAATACCCTTGTGCGCTCGTTTTGGGCAATGGCCTATTTCGACGGGTGTGTTTTCACGGCTGATTGCTTCGATGAATTTAGAATTTGGGCGAAGATACATATTTCTTTGAAGGATTTATGGGGATTTATGTTATTCGTACAACTGTTTTTTTCTCAAAAAAAATAAAGTAAATTAAATTTTTAATTTTTAATTTTTATATTGTATTAAAAATTAATTTTATATTCAAAATATCATATCAATATATTTATATCACATCATATCACTATTTAAATTTAAATTTTCACTATTTAAATCATAATCCAAAATCTAAACTCTCAAACAAACACACCAAACTCAATATGTTATTTTTATCATTTTTCATTCGCCTCATCTCAAAATATATATTTTTTATTTTAGTAAAAAATAATTATACATTAATACCAAATATTTATAATTTTTACCTAAATTACAAATATATAAATACATATACAATTACTTTATGCATAAAGTAAAAACTTTAAATATCAAGATTTTGTACGCACTTTCAATAATTAATAAAATATTACTCTATCCGTCTATTTTTTAATATTTTATTTGATATTTACACGTATTTTAAGGTAATTCGGATTTTTGTTATAAATGATAAATTTATCATTTATTTTGTGTATAGAACAAAAAAGGGTAAATAAAATAAAGGCAAAATAATAAATTATGTGTATAAAAATAAAAAGACTCAAATAGAAAAATAGGACGTTAGTTGAAAAGAGTATTACTTTTAACTTACAGTAAAATCCCAAAGGACCTTCTAAAGTGGAACGGATAGAATATTGTTTTAAATTTTGTATTATATAAAATTATATAATGTGTTTTAAGAAAATATATTATATATATTATATTAAGATATGCTATCAAATATTTAATAGTATTTTATTATAAATATATAGATTAAGTCAAACCAAGTAGATAAACTTTATCTTATACTTTGATTGTTAATCACTTAATCTACCATTAATTTGCTTTTCTTACTGTAAGTTTTTGTCTTTGGTTATGTCTTCTATTACTATAATTTGTTTTGTCAATTTATTGTGTCAAAATGTTTTTTTTTTTTTTTCTTCCTTCTTTTTCAGAATAGATCCCATTAAATTCAGCATACTAATAATTAATTCTCACCCTTAATTGTAGTAAAATATTTAAAATAATTTAATTAACCCTTAGGTGTGTTTGTTTGGGAGTTGAGATTTGAATAGTAAAAATTTTTGAATTTGAATAGTTATATGATGTGATATAAATAGGTGTTGATTTGATATTTTGAATATAAAATTAATTTTTAGTATAATATAAAAAATAAAAAATAGGTGTTTGATTTGATATTTTTATAAAAAAACATAAAATGAATAATTAATTTAAAATCCAAATCCCCAAACAAACACACAAATTCAATAGTACTGAACTAAAAATGAATGTGAGCATACGATTATTATTATTATTATTATTATTATTCCTTTATTTTATTTTTTTTTAGCATGTAGTAAAAAATTGATAGATTGAGCTAGTAGTTAAAGCATAATAATCAAAATAATAATTAATTAATTACCGCGGGATGGAGGGAAGGAGGGAGACACGTCACACGACGGCACGTGACTTCTTCATTGCTTTGTCCACCCTGAACTGACCGTACTGTTTCTTATGCACATGGGCCAACGGCCTTGGACCATTGGCATTTTAGCCCCGCATCTCCGAATATATTCTTTGGGCCGACAGTAAGTTTATTTTGTATTTTAATATTAATATATATACTCCGTCATATTTAATTGGTATCTTTTAATTCTGGTAGATTTCATAAAAACTTAATATTTATATATTTTATGTAAAATTTACTTAATGAGAAAATATTTAATAAATATAAATTAATTTAATTAATTAGATAACATTTATTAGTTGATATCTGTTAGCTGTTAGTTGATTTAATTAGCGGTTAGCTATTAGCTGGTTTGACTAACTGATTCGATTAGCTGTTTGTATTAAAGTGTTCGGTAAAATAGTGATTTGATATTAATTGTTTATACGTAAAATGACAATTAAATGCATAATTTAAACAAGTCTTGTAGTCTTTTTTTTTTTATTTCATCGCAGCATACATATATATATAGACATGTCTGACCAATAATAACAAATATCCACACATTTGTTTATGATATATCGATAAAGCACTAAGTTGACACTATGGGTGTGTTCCTTTGGCACCCTCGCAAACCCACTGTTTGGTTACTGTGTAGCGTAATTTGGACGCGAGACCACGGTAGGGGGGACAATTATGTCAGCGTAGGTCTCGTAGGATTTAACCAACGCGATTCGAACAAACTCCTTGCATTTATCATCCTATCCCATCCACCCTTCCACCTCATTCTCCCCCCGATGTGAAAACGCTATCCTTCTCCCTCCACCACTTTTTCCTTCTCTGTTACAGATCCAAGTTCCAGAGGGCAACAAGGGAAGCGTCCGTCTCTGTAGATCTCGATGAGGGTCGACGTTAACCGGGAGGCAACGAGAACGCGTTTGCCCACCTCATTTCGTCGTTCACGGTACTTCAGAATTTCACTTTCGCTTTCGGTTTTATGGAGGTTCGACATATTTGAGTAATCCGTAGGTGTCGTATTTACGTGGGTTTATTTATTTCAAGATTTTGTGCCACCGGGTTTAGGCTTTAGGCTTAGCACTTTCGTTTCACGGGAGGAAGTTCCCTGTCGCATCAGGTTTCAGATTTCAAATAGGCGTATATGCATGGTACGCCGATTACTCGAGGTAGGTTATTTTGTTGGTGTTGTGGGCATTTCTTAGAAAAGATTATAAGCATCGCGCCGCGCCTCCGGTCGCCCTTTGTCGGGTTCGACGCCCGGCGAGGAAGACCATCATGTTCGGACGCGCCACCCATTAGTCCTTTCGTTATAGCTTCTAACTTAGCACGAAGAGAGGAGGATGTGCATCATGACCTTAGTTAATGTGTGTCGTCATTGCGGGTTCAAGGTTTTGTAGGAAAACTTTGTTGTTACTCACCTCACGGTTGCAGAAACGACTGGAAAAATTTTCTACCCCATTAACTGAAGTCACACTTTACGGGGGTGTGTACTCACCTAGAAAAGTATATTAGAATTCATAGAAGATGAATTTGAAAATTGTAGGAGGACGTTCTAGCAAACTACATTGCCAAAAAAGAATGCGCCAATGGTTTGGTCGTACTCGTAATAATGCTGGTTAGCGTACGATCTTTGATCCCACTTGATGTGTGGAATCATTAACGCCAAAATGCACTCGTATTGTTGTGTTATTGTTGCTCAATTCGAGTGTCACCTACAGCCTCCTCAATGTAGCTAGTAATGTAGCGGTGACGAATCGAACATATGAGTTCTCCTAAAATACCTAAGTCGTTAAGTAGCGTTGTACTAACATTGTCACGAGCGGGCGGATAGTCACACCACCAAACCCAAACGGAGCCCCCTTGGAGTATGATATTGTGCATATCCATCCGATAATCTGTAACTCTATCATGCCTTCGATTGAGTATTCCTTCATTTATTTCCAGTGGTGCACGGTAGGGGGTTCCTTTCTTACAACCACACCAGAGAACCCGTAAATAGCAATCTTCACAGGCCATTATGTCCAATTGCGTAAAAGGGGTGATCTTCAACAATGTCAATGAGGTACGCCTTCCTACAATTGGGATCCGCTAGGGGTGCTAACTTATGACGTGGCTAGAAGAAATGTTTGATGTACCTAACTCCCCAATAATCGTAATTGTTCAAGTCCTTATTCCAATTCGTTTGCAATAAATGTGCTTGCAATATTTCTGTCTTCCCTGCTCTACATGTCCATAAAGAAGGAAGCTGGAGGCACACCATGTCCCGGATGCCCATAGCTCTGTCGGGAGTTCTGTAATCGTCTATAGCCGCAACAGGAAATGAAAGGTAGCCATCTGCACTGCGCCTTCAATCCTGAAAGTACATCATTCCTTATGTTCTTCCTAGTAATCTCTTTTGTACTTCATTTCATATTTTCTCGTGTTCCCCTTTCGTAGATGCCTCATCGCCGTGCTGTTGAGGGAGCTGTGCCCCGTCCCCCAGCACATTGGGATTACGAATTAGAACAATATTTCACTCACATATGCTTGATGCATTTTATTGCTGAAGAAATGAACGGGAAAAACTTTCCTCCAGAGGTGTGGTCGGAAATAGTAAAGGAGTTCTTCGAGGAAACGGGTTGCGACTACGATTACGAGCAACTCAATGGAAAATTCAAGATGATGAAAGTTCAATATGGCCATCTACGTGACCTTGTTGTACGTCAAACATGACTTGGTTGGGACGCGGCGACAGGGGTGGTACTTGCTAGCGAGGCCCAAAAAGCTGCTTGGTTATCGGTAGCACTTTTCATCCCAAAATATAATTAACGTAAGGGATTAGCGCATTCTCTGAGTTATAGCCATTGTGGAATTGCAGGCGCATCCCGGGGACGGCCACTTACTGACACGGCCGTTTGCGCACTTTGATTACTGTCATAAAATGTTCAAGGGACACTACGCCAACGGGGACGCCGACTAATCGAATTGTGTCCTTCCACGCGGAATGGATTCGGCGAAGAGAAGGACGCAGCGAACGGACCCCATGTCTGTCGGTCCATCTAACGTTCGAGTAGAAGACCTACGCGATGAGTTTGATGGTCCGCGCAGGACATCGACGATGACCGAGGACTTTACCAGTAGCTCGTTAATGCAGAATCGGTCCGGGGCCCCTCGTCGCCGGCGTGGGGGAGTCTCAGTGAATGAAGAGTTCACACGGAGAATTGAAGGACAAATTCAGAGGGAGTACGAGATGATTCAACAGAGCTTACTTGGTAGGGACAACGAGCGCCGCAACACCCTCCTCCGAGCGCAAGCTATTCTCGACTTGTTCACCGATATTCCCGATGTGGCACTGCTCCGCGCGTTACGCGAGATATCTTTCCTAGACCGTCGAGTGCTATTCCTCT